AAAGTGCTCCTCATTTTTGACATAATTATTAATGTTAACTAACAAGTCACATAAAGATGTCACCTGATCAACCTTATCATATATTTGCTTGTTGATAGACTTTATCTTCTGTATGCTTTGAGCACCAGCTGTAAATTGATTACATATCTACGATATTTTCCATGACTTCTTATTAACATAAAGTGTTTCTAATATATATTTTGCTACTTCTGGATATTGATCGACCAAATGTGACCATCGAGCCTCAAATAGCTTACTGCATAATGAATTTTAACAAACATAGAACTTTTGATGAAATTCTTCAAAATGAGGTCTCAATTTACATTTAAGCTTTTTTTGAAGATTCATATCAATATGGAAAATACATAATAAGTGGTTTATATTAGGATGTATTTCTTTAATCACACTAATCATAGATGGATCAGAATCAGTAAATATGACTTTGGGATTGATGCCCATTTCCTCAAATAAAGTAGTAAAAATCCATTGAAAAGTATCGAGAGTTTCATCATTTATAACAGCAGTAGCTACGATTCTTGATCTGAAATGATTATTAATAACTATCATGACAAAGAGTATCATTTGAAAGCGATTTGTGTTAAATGTGATATTAATAATTACAACATCATAGAAATTGCATATAAAGACCTTTGTGATGGAGACATCCATAATAACCTATTTAATCTTCTAGAAAAAGAATCTAAGTGTGATTTAACTACCCATAAAGGGTCAAATTCCTTCCAACTTAATAATATTTGAAGCATTTGGGATGCATCTGAGTCACCTGGATTATTTGTAGCTCGAAACTGATATACCGCATTGTAAAGGTCTTTTTTAAAGATGGGGTTATTGGGATAATCATGTTTAAGTAAAGGGTAAATAGATCCAGAGTTCATCTGGCCTTAAATTACATATTTTTCAATGTCGGATAACATTTCTGGTGTTAATTTTCTGAATCTTGGTGCCATTTCATGAATAGTTATGCTAAGCACGTGATTATGGTTATCCACAAATAAAGTAATCTTTAAAATATTGCTTTTTTTAAAGCAGTATACATTAAGCCTCTAGGGACATTCTGTCTGTTGTGAAACTGCATTTTACCATTTAGTGGGATCACAAGTTACTTGAGAATTGTAAATACCTGATCTTGAACATTTTAAAGTAACATGTCATATTACATCTTCATCCTTTTGACTAGTTCTAACCCTATAACTAAATCTCTTTTTTTTTGAATAATGATCCATCTATGCTTTAAATTCTATCTAGTCTACAAAGGTTAGGTTATTATTTAATTCTGAAGTATCTATCGGATTCTCACTTTCCTCTAAATCTGTATTGATTATAATTTCATTATCGATGTTATTATTTTCTATTAAGGACTCTTGCTCAGAAGGCTAACGATCACTACTAAAATTGGTGACCTTTTAAAAAAGAAGTTGAAAAAGATTAATGTTTAGTGTAAAAACCATAAAGGCA